CACCTGTAATGCGGTATACATATTAATAGCAGTAGTAAATGTGGGTACACGAAGAGACAATCGGCAAATGTAAACCAGCTCTTAACCTGGCATCGAAAAGTGGTTCGTCAACACTGCTGACGGGACCACAAATTACTCACAGAATCCCATCCAAATCTTGATCATTAGAGGGTTGAAGGTTTATCGCCTCATTCAGCTGAATTTTAGCCCCCCAAGTGGGAGACCAAGGCAGGCCTTTGGATTGGCAGCGGCAAGGTTGCCAATTGGGGGCCTTCCAAAAACCCATATAAATTATTATCATTTTAATCGGTAATATATTTAAATTACAAACGTTTAATGCGCATCAAACTGGTTGCTGGAGCGTGACCTACGGGAACTCGGTATGGCAGTTTTATATAGATGTTTGAATTGTGCTGACACAAGTTCGCTCAGACTGTTTTTTTTTTTTCACGTCTGAGCATCGTTTGTGTCGAATTTGTGCAAGATTTGTGTTATCACATGTGTCAGATTTGTCCCACTCACGTGTTTCTGCTTGTGAGGTTTTTGGAAGTCAAACACTGCTGAATAGTGCAGTTCAGTTAAGTATGTCTTTGCTACTGGTACTTAAAACCGAATTAGAATTATTTGGTGAGACCAAAACGTAAACAATCACTGTGATTAAACTTTAAAGCAGAGACTACAGGTGTGCATTCACAAATATCAGAAGAGAAAGAAGAGAGACTCACGTTACAGCATTCATTTTTGATGCTTTTTGGAGCTGGTGCTCATTTGCATAGCGTAATTGAGGCGGTCAACTGCAATTACTGTCGAGATACTATGAAGCTGCACGCACAAGGTTTGTGCCTCATGGCGGACGTGGAGCTGCGCAGTACGGTCTTGCATCGAGTATCCTGTAACGAGATTGTATCACAATGACACGGGGACTAAAATATAAACTGCAATTCGAAGCCTACGGAATGAATTAAGATATTATACGCTTATCGACAAAATGCTGAAGAAATAAGGAATTTTATCCGGCCCACAGAAGACTGATTGAGCTAATATTGACGCCGTGATGACCGCTAGAATGTTGCCACTTCAGTGAAAGCGAACACTGTTAAACTTGACTGGCAATAATATTAAGTACTGGAGTTCATAAACTAATTTATGCAAAGTGGATCTAGAAGAGAAACCTCGCTATTCCCAAGTCCCACCGGGAACTCCCGCGGATCTTAACTTGCGTTACGGATAGCTCCGTTAGCAAAAGAAGGGAAAGGCTAAACGATATTACCTATTGATTCACCTGCTATCAAGCTCCTTATATTTTGGTATGCTTGATTTCAAATGCACCGGTAGATTCACACAATTGACAGTTAGAGTCGCAACATTTAATAATATGTTTCTTGTTGTTAATTTTGTGAAATCTAACGGTCCATTTTGAAAACCAAACTTGTAGGATTCAATTCAGATACCTCGGTTGCTCAGAGTATAACAAAATAGTCTGAAGGGTGTAATGTTTGCTTCGTTTGTTATAATAAAAGTATCTGTGGGCTTAAAGGCTAACAGAGATATTGAAGCCCACTGCCTCCACTTCTGGATATTTGTATCGACCATTCATGAGTTTGTGTAACCACAATAAAAACACATACTGCGTAGAACGTATATAGCAGACCACTTTTGCCATCGCCACTATCGGCTCGGGCGGTGGCAACACTCCAATTTAAGTGTTTGGAGTGGCTAGTGAAATATGATAAGTTAGATGTAAAATAGATAAGGATGATTCTAAAAGCCACTAGTGCATTTATGAAACCGTATGTTGTTATCTCTACCAGAAATAGGAAGTGCCCAAAGTGCTGGAAGTGATGGAGGGGAATTTTGAGGCTGCACGTTTAAAAACATCGAGATCAACGAATTTCTTAGCGAGTTAGAATCATTATTTAACATATTTCTTGACTTAATGAACTGCTGTGACTTTTGACACACTTTTTTTAGGAGTCTTGTCCTCAAGACACTGTTGGGCTAGCAGCGGGATCCTACTGTAGTACTGTCAGTACCACATCGCGTGATAGTCACTCTGTATCTATGACTGCAGATCTCAGCAGCACACTGCATTACGGTACTGTAAAGTGTACGGGTAGGGGGTACTAGTACAGGGATGGCACTGAAACAGTGCATGCAGACGATCTGATCGGCGCAATAAAGTGCGCCTTTACCAAATGTAATTCTCCAACATAAAATGGACAATACCTTCCAATGTATTTGAGCTTCAACTAAAGTAGACTGCAAGGTAATGTCCGTGTAAGTGTCTTCAAATTTCGAAGACACATTTCACAAGCAAATCGGATTGCATGTACCACCAGTCATCACGTGGCTGGGATTTGTTGGTTGTCCTGGTCGCGCGATTTCGGGTTGGCACGGTGCCAACGGCTCCTCACTTCGCAACTCTCCTTCCATCTCCCAGTCGATCCCCATTGTTCTAACACTAGCCATGCGTTTAAGCTGCGTGCTGCTGATTGCTGTAGTCGTGCTTCTGTCAAGCTGTGACGATACCTCGGCAAATAATACTGGCCAAGCTTTGAAGACGAAGACCATGGAGTCGGGAGATGCTCTTGTCCCTGACACTACCCAGCGATTGCTACGGACACAACAGATCAGCGGTACAGATGCCGTCGCGTCTAACGATGAAGAGAGGGCCCCCTTGAGCTTGAAGAATCTGCTGAACGTGGTCAGGTTTAAAGCGGCTACGAACGATTTTGCTAGGTCGAACCTGGACAAAATGCTGTCGGATCCCATATTCAAGATGGAAATGTTTCAAAGGTGGAATGCGAAGTACAGCGCTGACAAA